ATCTCCCCAGCTCCCCTGGCCTACGTTTTGATTTTAGAAAAATCTCAGATACTACAAGGCCGAAGCTGAGCTCAAACTTGTGATTATCCTGCCTCAGCATCCCAGTGGTGCATTTACATGGGTAAGTATCCATTCATGGTTTTTGTTTTCCCTTTGGAGAAGGTTTTCACTATGTCGCTACGTTACATCAGCTGAAAACGAATTTCATTACATCCCCAGTTATCATCTATTGTGGGTGTCACTAGAGATGTGTGTCAGTGTGTTTTCTTAGCTGGCTACAAAAGTCATTGCATTTCAAGCTTTTGTTGTTCTCACAATGTCACCAAGTCCCCTAGGCTGAGCTGGAATCCCTAGCTGTCCTGTCTCTTCCTCATAAATGGTGAAATAAAATCCATGCACCATCACTCCTGTTCATGGGATCTTAAATACTTTTTCTTTCCTTCCCTAACATTTTGTGATTGTATGAATGGATAAGGTAGATGTTCCTTTTCCAAATGAACTGGAAAACATTCTACACAATATATTTTTTTTATAATTTTTTTTAACATTTATTTATTTATTGTGTGTGTGTGGCCAGCTCAGCCCTCCAGCGGGCGGGGCTGGCTGGCATGTGGTGCTGGGGGATTGAACTGAGGTCCCTGTGCTTTGCCAAGCTTGTTCCATGTAGGTGCTTTAGACCACTGAGCCATCTCGCCAGCCCCGTACACAATATGTTTTAAAGATTTTTCCATTGGACATGGTGGAGCATGCCTGTAATCCCAGCACTTTGGAAAGCTGAGGCTGAGTGATCATCTCTGTGATTTTGAGGCAATCCAGGGCTCCACCGTGAGTCCAGTGGCAGTCTCAATTATCCAATGACATGCTGTTCCCAAGGGCAAATGAACACAGGACAAAAAAATGGATCAGTTTCACGGCTATCTTGATCCCTAAGTGGTAAATTTCACATACAGTGAGAAGAATGTGTGTGACTCCACATGTCAGCGTTTTCCATCCTTGCTTTGACAGTGCTCTATGATATTAATTATTGCATGGATTTTACCACTGCTTACTGGAAATCTTTTAGTGCTTCATGAAACTGCTGTGACCTGGGAGGAAGGCAAACAGAGAAGTACACCCCTGTGGGCTTGGAAGTTTGAAGTAAACAGATAATCTTCACCTGTTGTATCAGTGAGAGATTACTGTGAAGGAGAGTTGATACGAGCTAACCTGATGAGTTCTCTAGTGAGATTTCAGGATCAGTCTCACCAAAAGATCCCACAGCAAGATATCAGAAAACTTAGCAGGGCATGGTGCAGCCTGCCTGCCTATGTAATCCCAGCACTTGGGAGGCTGATGCAGGAGGATCATTGCAACTTTAAGATTAGCCTGGGCTACAAAGTGAGACCAAGACCAGCCAGAGCTATGTGTGACCTTGTCTCAAACAAATAAACAAATAATCCAACATTTAATGTTATTGTGAGGTTTTGGTTTGATTATTGTTTGTGGTCCAGGCTTAGTGAGCCTTGTTTTTTTCTTTTCTTTTGTTTTGTCTTTTTCTTGAGACAGGGCCCCACTCTGCAGTTCAGGCTGGACTTTGTAGCCCAAGCTGGTCTCGAACTCACAATGATCCTGCTGCCTCTGCCTCCTGAGGGGTGGGATTACAGGTGTGCAATATTACACCTAGACAAAAATAAATAAATAAATATTTAAAAAAAAAAGGGGGGGCTGGAGCGATGGCTCAGTGGTCTAAAGCACCTACTTGAAACAAGCTTAGCAAAACATAGGGACCGCGGTTCAATCCCCCAGCACCACATGCCAGCTGGCCCCACCCCCCTGGTGGGCTGAGCTGGCCACACACACACACACACACACACACACACACACACAATGTAAAAATAAATAAATATTAAAAAAAATATTACGCCTAGAAAAAGGCCAATATTTTTTTTCTGCTACTTGAGATTGAACTCAGGCTCAATCAACATGCCTGCCAAGCAGCACACTATGTTGCTGAGCCATCTCCCCAGCCCAAGAGTGAGCCTTAAAACTCACCATGTAGCCCATACTGCCCTTGAATTCCCAGTGACTCTTATCTCCACCTCCAGTATGGGGCGATAGGACGTGAAGCCACCACATAGGGCTGACATCAGGAAATTCCCAGGGGTCACAGCAGGGTTCACCTTCTCAATTTTGGCCTTGACCTCACAGGGCCAGGACCTACTGAGGGAGGTGCTAACAAGTCCTCTGGCCTTCTTCGTGAGTACACTGAGGGAGGTGAAGTGTCTGCCCAAGGCCACGGAGCTCCCTGAGGTCAGGTAGCAAGACAGAAGGTGGGGAAGAGAGGAAGTCGTTCTGCTGCATCCCTATCTGACTCTCCCCAGCCTCCACCTCTCCAGGAGTTTAAGACCCTCTCTGGTCCCTCCTTTTTCCTCCTCTTATGGGTTCAATCTTCAGAGCTTGATTCAACCTCCCCCTGCAGCTCTGAATACAAAAGTCTCAGCAGCATCACTGCCCTGCTGGACAGTGAGTGTGGGTGACAGAAGGCCCTCTTGAAAAGGATGAGTGAAGCCTGGGATATGGCAGGGTGGTGGATCCTGCTAGGATGGAGAAAACTGGGTGTCACAGCATTGGTCACTTGTTTATCTCTACAGTGTGGACCAGCAGGACAGGACTATGCAGAGAGTAGGGATAGGGTGGGCAGTAAGTAACAGGGGAGACATCCTCCATAGATTTCCTAGAGAGATTGGGAACAGGACAGAGTAAGGGCCATAGGTGCTTAGGAGTCTGGGCAGATGCTCTAATGTCCTTCACCCCAATGTTAAATTAAAGCTAGAAATTACAGTAGAATTTCCTTCAAAGAATGAATAAAGAATAGATACAATTGGAGCCCCATTCACAAAGGAGGAAATCTGAGCCTGAAAAATTTGGCCTAAGTCACACAAAAAACACAGTTGTAGAGAATCAAATTCAGGGAATACCTCTTTTCCAAATTTCCACAGCCCTAGGTAACACCCTTCCCCAGGTTTTGGTCTCCAAGCATTTCCTGTTTTGTTAAGTTCATTTATCTTTCCTCTTTTCTAAAATAATTCCCCATCTTTCAAGCCCCAAATCCACCAGTTTCTAATTCTCACAGGATGCCAAATATCTATGGGGTTTATGTTTCTAGAGCACCTGGAAATTGCAAAAAACCATGAATTTCAAATGTGGCAAGAAAAACACCTATAAATACCTGTGTTCATATTTAACACCTAAATATACTGTCTCCCAGAGTTATGTGACTTAGTTAAATACTGTATTGTTAAATGCTAAGAAGATTTAGGGTGCTTCAGCAGCATCTGAAGGATCTTGGGCTTTTACAACAACATCAAGAACATCTGCCATTACTACATGCTGTAGGGAGTAGAAAGGCTGGCTCCAGAGATGGGTCACAGTGAAGGCCCCAATCAGGAGCAACAAGGACAGAATAATGCTCTCATATTTATTTATTTATTTATTTATTTTTTGGTGGAACCAGGGATTGAACTCAGTCTTTTGCGCTTGCCAGGGAAGCACTTATTCCACTGAGCCATCTCCCCGGCCCCTGCTCTCATATTTATTGGTTATTCACAAACAATACATGTAAAAGGAACTGCAGAGGACATCTTGGATTTCCATAAATTTGATAAGGTTTCCGCAAACTACTGTAAGTTAAGCTCTAATGAAAAAAATTGGCGGGGCTGGAGAGATGGCTCAGTGGTCTAAAGCACCTACTTAGAACAAGCTTAGCAAA